TAGGTTGATGCTACTGCTCTCATGGCATGCAGCCATGTCCTTCCCAAGATTATGTTATAAGTGGAGGGTACTTTCAATACCCAGAATTTCACTTGTTTAGTCATGCTTCCTGCTCTGACTGGGAGGATTATCTTGCCGACTGGCCATTCTGGCATTAAGTTGAACCCGATCAGGGGAGATACGGCAGGTGCCAAGTCTTTGTCCTTCAATTTCAGTTGTTTGAAGGTTTCGTAATACATTATCTCGCACGAGCTTCCTTGGTTGATCAAAATCCGTTTGATGTCGTAATCCATGATGCGGAGTGTGACGACCAGTGCATCATTGTGAGGGCAGTATATCCTTGCTAAGTCTCTGTCTGAGAAGGATATGACGTTCGTGGGTTTTGTTTTCCCCTTTTTGATGGTAGTTTGGGCACTTAATACCTCTCTTAAGTGTTCAGCCTTCTTGATCGTTCCTCTGAGCTCACATACTCACTCAGGTTCGAATACCCCATGTATTACATTAATCACGCCTTGAGGTGGGGCGTCGATCGGCATTCTGTCTAGGTTATTGTGGTTTTGGGGGGCTAGCTGTGTCCCTCCTTCTATGTACTTGTCCAAGTGCCCAGCTGCCACTAACTCCTCCAAGTGCTATCTCAACGGTGTGTAATTCTCTGTGCGGTGTCCCTTTTCATTATGGAAGGTACACCGGGATCCTTCGTCATAGTCTTTTTGTACTTCTCCCAACTTAGCTGGCCATCGGACGAAAGGTTCGTCGCGTATCTCACTGAGAATTCGGTAGATTGGTTTTTTAAACACCGTGGTAATGGCAGTGCGAACTCTTAGCCACCTTTTGTCTGGATCCTCTTTGTTGGCCTGTCTGTCTCGCTCGTAGTGCGGACTCTCAACCATCTTTTATCTCGGTCCTCTTCGTTGTCTCGCCTGCCTCGTCCATTCTTGCTTGGACGTTCTACCATGTTGACTTTTGCCGTAGTCTTTTTATCTGGTGTTGCTGTTGTACCAGATTTTGCCTTTGCATGGGCGCCATCCTCCTCCAGCCGAATATGTTTGTGCACTCTCTCCATCAAGGCTTCCATCGTGAGGGGTGGAGTCATAGTAATCGAATCCCTCAATCTGTTTCTGACTGGAAGTCCTCTTTTGTATTGTGCGATGGCGAGATTGGTAGGGCAGTCCCCTATTTGGTTGAACGTCTCCCAGTAGCGACTGTTGTAGGATCTCAACGTCTCCTTGTCGTCCATATCAATGAAGAGTAACTGATCAATCTCTACTGGCATCTTAGTGTTCGTTCTAAACCTTGTCACGAACGCCTACGCTAATTGCGCCCATGAGGCTATGCTGCCTTCTGGTAGCCTTTCAAACCAGGTTAAACCTAGGTCGCCAAGGCTGGATGGAAATAGGATGCACATCAAAGCTTCGTTCTGCCGGTATACTGCCATGACCTGGCGAAAGTGGCTTAGGTGCATATAAGGGTCTGTCTTCCCCTCGTACGTGGTAAATTTAGGTTGGATAAAGCCTGAGGGTAATGGTGCGTTCTCAATTGCCGGAACGAACGGCGAGCTATGTAGTCTTGCCAATGCTTTATCTGTTGGTTCATAAGCAAAGTGCGGTATTGGCATTCCTACCTCGACGTTCCATGCGTCCGAGGAACCAACCGCTGAAGGGCTGAAACTCTGTGCGGGTCGCGTGCCCTGGCATCCTCCTTGCGTCGTGCCCTTTCTTTAAGTACAGTCCGTAAGTCGGACGATCTAGGCAACTCCGTTTGCCTGGACGATGTCTGGTGCGTATGTGAGGGCCAATAGGTGCTTCCCTCAGTGTAAGACCTCAATGATCTCGTTTTCTCAGACCTAGAGTAACGAGTTCTGGAAGTCCTTAATTGAGTGTCGCCTGTTCTGAGGCTCCTACTCTCTGCTTGCGATGGCATGGTATGCCTACCATGATCTTCAGAGTGGCGAGGGGGCGTATTGCTTTTGCGCCCCTCTCCTGTCGCCACCCCTTTCCCTTTTATCTGGCGCTTCATCAATTCCGTGTCCGCCGCCATCTTCCTTATTAGTTCATCTTGCTCTTTTACGCGATCCTCCAGAGCTTGAGGGTCGATTCTTCGCCTTTGCCTTTCAGGACTTTGTGAGCGAGAGCGACGGGGGCTGTTACCCCGCCTCCTCCTTGTATCTCTCCGGGGGTTTTGTCGCTGTGGCTCTAAATCTGCTATGGGTGGGATGGAAGGTAGACCTTCGCGCCTCCCACCTCCCTATGGGGTTTGTCCGTCGATGGCGGACTGTAGCAAATCTTCATTGTGCGCCATTCAACTAGCGAGGGAAACTTGATCAAGAGGTTTGGTTCTTTGCCTGATATTCCCACAGACGACGCCAATTGTACGGGAAAGAAATAAACCTTCTCGTATTATCCTGTTGATCAAGTCTGCGCTCCTCCATACGACATCGCTTTACTCCCTGAAAACACAAACGTGAGCTAGCCGGCAGGTGTGTGCTGGATACTTCTCTGATGCCTAAGTCAGTAAAATAGACAAATAGACAAAAAGCTCTGTGTATTCGGGAATCAAAATTGTGTTACCTCTCCATAGGTGATGTTATGAGTTTTTATAGGTTTCGTGTGGCACAATCCTAGTAGGACTCTTACTCCTCCATGTAGAATCCTTCTAGGAATCACATTCCTGAAAGATAATGCTTATCCTTCAACACCCCCCTCACTACTTAAACCAAGTGAGATGGTTTTACCATGGTTGGATGTCAATACGACCGAGATAACATAGCCATGCTAAAACCGCAGACTAGACCGAGCTCCCACTAGCTCGGTTCTTCCTTTCACTGCGTGTACCTCGGTTTGACATATTCCAACTGGGTTGTCCGAAACCGCACTAACCATAATGAGCTTGGACCAAGCTAACCAATAGCAAGGTTCTGAGGAAAGCTTAACATACTTCGGCTCAATATGGTATGACTGAGCTAACTGTTACCGCTCTGAGTGTGGTGACCGAGCTAACGGTAGAGCTCTCTTGGACCGAGCTAACCCTTGCTAGGTCACTACATACCTGGACCGAGCCAACACCTGGACTACGGTCCACTTACTAAGCCCTTCTTACTACGGCCCTTAGAACGGCCCAGTACCCAGCTCGGCCCAATTTACTCATAAATTACCCTCTCACATACATAACATCACAGCAAACAACAAATTATCATTGGAATTATAAATAGCAAAATCGTTCACAATCTCTTGTAACCACAACTCACTAATGGATCTCAAGTAGGCCACACTAGTACAGTTGACAAATTAAAAATACTCTCTCTCTCTCTCTCTCTCTCTCTCTCTCTCTCTCTCTTTCAATTAGGGTTTTGGGGCCGCAGCAACTGGAGAAGTAGGTTGATGGGATGGAGACTTGGGGTTCTTCTTCACATACTTGCGAGCCCAAACATGCTTCCCATTAATGGATGCAAAGAGCAGCATAGCCAATGGGCCTGCAATCCACCCCAACTGAGACATGCTCCATGCTAGTCATAGTACCCCTGATCCTATCACTCCCGTTATTATGCACGCCACACCGGTCCATATGTTCCCTTCATCATCATATAATCAACACATACCAATCTAAGTACCAAAATACATAATCCATATATGTGTATATCTAACAATTCCCATCTAACGGTTGTAAGCCACTGCCCCTTATAATTGTGGCAGGCATGGATACTCTATTCTTAAATTTCTTTCTTTCAATGCATTTCAAGTCACAGAATCATGTCAATATATACCAATCGAAGTACCAAAATACATACACATACATATGTGAACCAAGAAGAAATGTCAAAATTGTCCTCTTCCATTATACAAGTTAACAGACACAGTCAGATAGTTAAAATTGATAATTGATAACATTTTAAATGTCTAAAGTTCAAATTGAAAAAAAATAAAAATACTAGTTTAATTTGTTACAATGTTAAATTTTGAGATTTTTTTTTTTTTTAAAGTTCCCAATTATTTTATTCCAATGCATTTCAAGTCACAGGATCACTAAATAACATTTCATGAACTCACACAAAGTTCCCAGGATCACTAAAACAGAAATCACAAAGTTCCCAAGTGAATTTTTTTTATATAAAAAAAGAGAAAAAAAATTTATAAAGTGAAGTGCACGAGATTTGAACTTAAGATCTTGAGTTTGGAAAACAACACCCTTACCACTAAATCAACAAATACTACTTATATTTTTAATTCAAAATTAAAATTTATATTTTATAAATTTAACAACACACCCATGGGGTGGGCTTATACCCCTAGTGTGTATATATATATATATTGTGTCCTGATATTTAAGGGCTGGAGAATTGATGATGCTGTGTAAAAAAGTGGGTGTGGAAAATTTTGACTTTTGGGCATTAAACACTTACATTATATACTTTCTTGGAAATTCTTGTGGATAAAAAATCATTGGTTTATTAGATCACCAAATGAAAAATTCATGGTTACTGTCAGAAAAAGGGAAAATAAAACAAAAAAACAAGGGAAGAGAAAGAAAGTGAAAGAAAGACAAACCAGTTCTGTCGATGGAAGAATCAACCAAAGGGGTCTGATGATCTTGACCTTCATCTCTCTCTCTCTCTCTCTCCCTCTTCCATGGCCTTCTTCCAAACTGCCCTTCAATTCAAATTTACAAATTCAACAATAAACCCTTTTAGCATATATACATACACATATATATAGATGGTTAGTGGGTATCACAAGTCATGATAGTGGACTACTTTTAGAGCCAGAGACAACTACAATCGGAGTCTTTGTGTTCCGTCAACGATGCCCCAATTTACTGTTTAAAGTCGTTCTAAAAACTGAAATAATCATACATGTACCAAATAATCATACATGTATCGTGTTCAAAATGGACCAAAAAGATTTATTGTTTTCAGAAGATTAAAAATGTGAGAATGGTGATGTCCATCGGCATCAGTAAACTGGACAGAAAAAATGAGCAAAGAGGGACAATTATAGAAGTATTACCGGTACCCACGATTCATCATTTTCAACATGTCCATGATTCTGATGGTGAGTTCTATGGCTAATTCTCCTGTAATTATATATCAGTCATATGCACAAACACCATTTCTTCACAAACTCAATCTAGACAGATATACAAATATCAGAATCAGAGAGTTAAGATCAAGAACACACCATCCATGATAAGGCACAAGAATTGACGAATGCAGGAGATGTCCAGCAACACTGTTCAACAAAGGGTCGTCAGAAAAGCTTCCGTGGCCACTGCAGATTCAAAAAAAAAAAAAAAACCAAACACAAAAATGAGCCTTCAAATTTAATTTCCAAAATAGGAATTGTAAGCATGTTATGTATATTACCAATCATGACCAAGAACAAACAGTGCCCAAAACATTGTCCCCTGGGCAGCCCAGTAAAAAGGCCAAACAACCCAACTTTCAAAGAAATTTGCCAATGCAGCTAATCCAAAAACCACAATAACATCCCTAATCACATAACTAATAGATCGCCATGGATTCTTGACCCAGCAGTGGCTAGGAATGGCAGCTTGAATCTCCGCTATCCTAAACGGAGGAGGTGCCACGGGTTTTTGAATACAATTGTTAAAGATTGAACTTGCCTAGCAAAATCAGAAACGGAATGTTTTGTGTAGATTTAAAGGATAATTTTGAATTCTGATTATTCTTTATCGATGAGAATATGTAATCATGAACATGAGAATATGGGGTTAACTTCAGCTAGACTGTGAATTATGTGGGTATAGTTGCTTCCTTATCCGCTACCAAGAAGCAACTGTACTGATTTCTTGCATTTCTTGTGTGTATTTTGGGTGTAACAAACTAACACGTGCATTTTTGTGTCTCTTTTTGTATTTTGGGTGCAGTGAAAAATAATAGAAAAATAGAAATCTAACAGAGAACAAGAAAGAAAGAACTTCAACTTAAGCTGGGCATATAAACAAACATGTAATATACACAAATAAATCCAAATATACATACACACAAGATTTGAAGGTATAGAAAGTGAAAAGATTGGAGATCTGTACCTCAAGCTAAAGAGAATCTAGAAAAAGGAAAGTAACTGTACATATGGGATTGTAAATGGGCAAGTGTATATTCAGAGATCTTTCAACTTTTTCAACATAACAGATCAGAAAAGGATGCGTTCAGGCACAAATCAACTCCTCCTCCTCCACATCCTCTCTCTCTCTCTCTCCCACATCCGGACTTGAAGCAAAGACTTAAATCTAGTTCAACGAAGCAGAGAGCGAAGAAAAGAAGAAAAAAAGAAAAGGATGTGTTTAGCCACAAATCAACTTGTAGTTTCTTGCTTACAATTTCAATTTCAATAACCAAATCGAGAGAGACGGGAAGGAAGAGCTTGAGAGATAAAGAAATCGATACCTCGCTGGTGGAGATGGTGGTGGCGGTGGAGTTTCGAAATCGAAATCGAAATCAGACATTCAAATGAAATCGAAATCAGAGAAATCGAGCCGGTGCAGATGGTGGTGGCGGTGGAGCTTCAAAATCGAAATCGCTTTGAATCTCAAAGATGAATCTGTGAGAATAATAACGGTTTAGAGAGGGTTGAGAGAGACGAGATTTGAAGGCATGATGATTCCAAATAAGGGTTTACAAAGGGCTTTAACAATTATTCTCATATTCAAAATAGACTTTGAAATTGAGAGAGAGAATCACCGAAACATAAATTTCGAAATCAAAATCCAGAGAGAACTTCGAAATCAGAATCGAAATCGCCAAGATGAATCACCGAGATTGTATCATTTTGAGATGAATCAGCGAGAGATGAATTGATCCATTGAGAGGGTTTAGAGAAAGAGAGAGCGAACGAGAGACTGAGTAAGAGATAAGGGCTACAAAATGAGTGAGTGAGAGAGATTGGGGCTTCAGAGGGTTGCCCATTTAAGGGAGAGAGAGAGAGAGGCCATTCAAAGGCGCTTTTAAACGCTTGAAACGGTGCCGTTTTTATTTTTTAAAACAGCAACGTTTAAGAAACGTCGTTAAATATTATAAAATGTGACGTTTAATAAAACGTCGTTAAATAAACGTTGCTAAAACTCATTTTTGACATTTTAGTTATTTTAGGTTATTGTCAAACTTGTCCAATGAAAGAGAAAAAAAAAAATTAATTACAAGTTATATTATCAAAATATCTTTATATGTTTTTATATTTTGAAAGTTACTATATACAATCATATTTTTTACTTTATTTTCTCATGGTAAGACACAAGTGAGTAGGCCTCTTATATATATATATATATATATATTTATGAATGTGAACTCATTGTTCCCTCTCTTTAGTAACTCAAACAAATAATTAAGAACAAGAAAATTTGATTTCTTTTTCTTCCTCACCAAATCATTCAATCCAACACTCTAATTAGTCCTCTCTCTTCTCCGACCATGACCCAAAAATATGGCACGCATTTGAAATTTTTTGTTCACATTCTTTTGTCCAAAAAGCAAGAAAACCAGAGTCACCATAGCCACAACTCTGCAGCAATCTGGTCCTCATTCCCAATTCTCATATCTTAGCCCTTAGAACAATGATATTGAGGCAACTGAGCATTGCAATTACAATTTCTAATTCATTTGTTTCATTCATATTGCTTTGTCACATACTCACACAATCACAATCATGCTTTGCAACAGACAATTTAACTCAATCCAAAAGCATTTCAGTATCAGAAACTCTTACTTCTGCTAGCCAAATCTTCGAGTTGGGCTTCTTTAATTCCAATTCTACTGCCAAGAAATATGTTGGGATATGGTACAAGAAAATTCCTATACGAAAAGTTGTATGGGTAGCAAATAGAGAAAACCCACTTTCAGTTACAGACTCGGGCTCAAGTCTAACAATTGGCGATGATGGAAACCTCAGGCTTTTGGATGGAAATCAAAACACTGTTTGGACAACCAACATAACTGTGTATGTGAATTATTCGGTTGCAGTGCTTTTATACACGGGTAATTTAGTACGCAGGGATGGTGTGTCGGGTGAGTCGTTGTGGGAGGATTTGAGTCATCCTTGTGACACTTCATTACCCGGGATGAGGCTAGGACTGAATACCAGACTGCTTGGAAAACAGAAGACGATCCATCGCCTGGAAATTTTGTTTCTGGGATTTCACCATAGAAGCCACCGCAAGAGTTCATTTGGAACAATTCAATTCCTTTCTGGAGAAGTGGGCAGTGGAATGGACTCAAGCTTGTTGGGAAACCGGAAACACGTGGCAGTTATCTAAATGGGTTTACTCTTGTTCCAGACCTCCAACAAGATAATCGCTTTTTCACATTCACTTTATTCAACAGCTATTCAGATTTTGACAGTTACATCAAGTGGAGCTTTGAGGTTGGTTGAGTGGGATGAGGGCACGCAGGAGTGGAACACTCGTTGGAATACTCTAGACAGTCTGTGATACATATGGAACATGTGGACCTTTTGGGGTTTGTAATAGAAATAAGTCGCCGATATGTAAGTGCTTGAAAGGGTTTGTGCCAAAATCAAACGAAGAATGGGGGAAAGGAAATTGGACAAGCAGGTGTGTGAGACGAACAGAATTACTTTGTGACAAGAACACAAGTAACTCATCCTAGGGTAGTGGAAAGATTGATGGGTTTTGGAAGTTGAGAGGGATGAAATTGCCCTACCTTTCTACTTATGTGCCTCTTGATGATACAAATGAATGCAAATTTTGGTGCTTAAATAATTGCTCTTGTTTGGCTTATGCATATGTAAATGGAATTGGTTGTACAACATGGACAAGAAATCTTTTGGATGTTCAGGAGTTTTCGCTTGGAGGAGAGGATCTTTTCCTCTGCCTAGCGAATTCAGAACTAGGTGACTTGATTTACATTCAGGGTTCTCTCTCCATAAGGATTGTTATTCCCTTTTCATGAACTTCATTTGTGTGTTTATTTTCTTTTCCAGGAAAAGGGAAGGAAAGAACAAAACTCATCGTCAGTTTGGTAGTAATTTCAAGTATCATATTATCTAGTGTGTTCATTTAAGTTTTGTGCAAGTGGAAAGCTAAACAAAGAGGTGAGAATACTGCTAATGTAGACTTCAATATGTTAGATTAGCTGTTTGTCTATCAGAAGATTGTCAAGTGAGTGAACAATGTTTTGAATCTTTTAAACAATGATGTTTAATAACTTTCTAGTTGAATTTATGTGGGAAAACCATGTGAAAAGAATTCGTTTGACAGTTGAACTGTCAAACCCAACCTATGTTCTATTGCACTAATCATCTTACTGGTTTCAATTTGCCATTTAAATTGAAAGCTTTTGCAATACTAAAATCAGGCATGTGGTGACCAATAACTTGATGCTTGAAAACAGGGGAATTGGAAGTTAACCTTTTGCATTTTCTAATTTTTGGTACAACAGAAAACAAAAGTCAACCTAAAATATTTTCCATGATGAACGGAAAATAGACTTATTTGAGTAAAAAATGTTTACTAGACTAAAGTCTTACCAATGCCACAACACTACCACCACCAACACCATCACTAACTCATTAGTTTCAAAATTGCAACCAAACATAGAAAACATTTTTCTGCCGAAACAAATGTAGTGCAGACTTCGCTGCAATGTCAAAGTAACATCTCTTTTTTCTTTTTCTTATTTAAAATTAAAAAAGGCATCCATATATTTTTTTTAGTAGGTTGGGGATGCGTTGGGGGTATAATTTGTCAATTTCAGTGCATACCCAAGTTTGATAACCATGAAACATGAGGATTAAGGAGCTGATTGATTTAATTGTCATGATTCAATCTCACAAACCAGGAAAAAGGAAGAAAAGAAGCAAGGCCTTTATTTTTTCTGGTATATTCAACACTTCAAAAATCACTCGACTAGGAAATTTGTGGAGAAACCATGTAAAACAACAAGATCTATCAGAGCTGCCAATATTTGATTTCGATAAAATTGTAGCTGCTACCAACAATTTCTGCTCAGATAACAAACTCGGGGAAGGAGGATTTGGCCCGGTCTTCAAGGTAAATGCCCTATTTTCTAAATTATTTTGTGCGCACATACATATAAATAATTTCCTAAATATTACATATGAACTCTGTAATCATATGTTGTTCAATTGAGAAAATTAATGGTAAATGATAGCGAAAGCTGGAAGATGGGCAGGACATAGCAGTGAAAAAACTTTCTAGATGCTCGGGACAAGGCATAGAAGAGTTCAAGAATGAGATTATTCTGATGTCAAAACTCTAGAATAGGAATCTTGTTCAGCTCTTTGGTTGCTGCATTGAGGGAGAAGAACTAATGATAGTTTACGAGTACATGCCCAATAGAAGCTTGGATACTTTGCTTTTCGGTTTGTTCAACTTAACCTTATGCTTAATATTTAATGAACTTGTTAGTTCAAGGATTATTACCCACCAAGATCTTTGCTGATTATATTTTGAATTGGTATTCCTGTTAGATCCAACAAGAAGAGCACAACTTGATTGGGATAAACGTTTCAACATCATTCAGGATATTGCAAGAGGGCTTATGTATCTCCATCGTGATTCTTGCTTAAAAATTATTCACCGAGATTTGAAAGCTAGCAATGTTCTCTTGGATAAAGATATGAACCCAAAAATATCAGACTTTGGCTTGGCACGAACTTTTCAAGTCACACAAGATCTAGAAAACACTCGGAGAGTTATGGGAACATAGTAAGCATCCTTTGTTCCCTTCTATTTGATTCAATCTCTCCTTTTTCTTATCCAAATGGAATTAAATCATACCAAAAGCAGTGAGACTTTTGGGTGGAACTACTTTTGTGACATTGAATTACTAAATTTTATTGTATTTTAATGAAATGCAGTGGCTATATATCTCCTGAGTACGCCTTGGGAGGAATATTTTCCGAAAAATCTGATCTCTTCAGCTTTGGCGTATTGCTACTAGAGATTGTTTCTGGCATGAAGAATAGCAGTTTCCATTATCAAGAACAATATCTAAGCCTTCTTGGTTATGTAAGTGCACTATCTCACTTCAATGTGCATTTCAAATACTTTGACAGTTAACATGTTTTCCCTATTTGATGTCGATCTGATTATAGAAGATTATTTTAGGCATGGCAATTGTGGAACGAAGGGAGAGTGTTGGACTTCATGGATCAAACATTGACCGACTCTTGTTTTCTAGAAGTACAGAGATGCATAAGTACTGGCCTTCTTTGTGTTCAGGATCACTCTGCGGATAGACCAACCATGCCTGATATAGTTCTGATGCAACACAGTGATACAAATGCTCCAACGCCAAAACAACCTATATTTACTTTTCGAAGTTTGCTGTACTCAGATAAACAAACACAATGCAACAATTTCTGCTCCATAAATGAGGTTACCGTATCAATGATTGATGGACGATGACAAAGAGGATATTGTTTTATGAGTACATGACAAACAATAGTTTGGACACATTTCTACTGTATCAATTGTTTTATGAGTACAAGACAAAGAGGCTATTGTGGTTATTTCGAATTCACATTTCGACATAATTCAAACTATTCCAGGCATGGCACTTGTGGAACAAAAGCAGGGCGTTAGACTTAGTGGATGAAGCAATGGCCGAGTCATGTCTGCTATCAGAAGTAATGAGATGCATAGGCATTGGTCTTCTTTGTGTTCAGAACCATGCTGCAGATAGACCTACCATGTCAGCTGTAGTTCTCATGTTGAGTAGTGAAATTGATGTTCCACAGCCAAAACAACCTACATTTACTATTCAAAGCTTGTACTCCGGTATTCAGTCACAAAGCAACAAAATATGTTCCATAAATGAGGTCACATGTACCATAATTCCATCTTTCCAGAGTAGGAATATTTGCTTGGATATTAGCAGTGTATGTCGATTATTTTTAGTTGATCCGATACAATTACGATGCTGCTATTATTGTACAATGATAACAACAAAAATAGCAAGGAGGCCATTGTGTGTAGTTCAATGTATTTTTTAGAAGACTTTCTTGAATTTCAAAATATTGCAACACAAATAATTTTAAAAAAATAAAAATAAAAATTAAGACTAACGAAAGGGACTTTTATGTGTTTAGTATATGATAAAGTTTTCATACATGCAAATGTAAATATTAATATTTTGATGGTGGCTCTCATTATGCTGATATGTACGAAAGGGTTCACTCTTGTCTCAAAAAAAAAAAAATGAGCATACTGCCAAGTGAAAATATTTTCAGGGTGGGTGTTTAGGAAGTTACTATTTTAGTAGATTATTTTAGTTTTTATTATTTTAGTAGGTTAAAATTTTTATATTTAGGAAGGTAGTTAGATTTTTTTTTTATTAGATGTGATGTTTGTGAGAGAAAAAGTAAAATGATTATAAATTTGATATGACATTTTGTCTTATTAACTATTTTAATTTATT